TATGAAAATATCATAAATATTCATACAACTTATATAATTCACAGCAAGTAATACAAAAATCTTAGCCAATTGATGCTGCATATTTAGCCCATTCCCAGCCCAGCTAATGCAAATGTAGTAATTCAGTTTCAACTGGTTTCACAATCTAAGTAATCTAGAGGAACTGTTTCCGATCTAGGAGCAACTTATCCCGATATCTGGATCCAGACATAGCACATTATTTTTATCGTCACATGTCTAACCACCTAAACATGTAACTCATCTCTAGAATGATGAAAATCAATATGCTGCAGCATAACTTTTATATATATATATATATATATATATATATATATATATATATATAGAATGATGAAAATCAATATGCTGCAGCATAACTTTTATATATATATATATATATATATATATATATATATATTCAGTCTCAGCAATAAAGCCCAATAGTGCACATCTTTAGTTCAGTACTTTAGCGTGTATTAAATAATCTCAGCACATATATCACAACTTTAGGTATTTACCCAACCAATCTTAGCACTTCAAACTTTTACCATAGCTATAAACAGCATAGAATATCAACATTTACAACTAATTTTGGCACATCCTATTACAGTATTTCAAACATAAGCAATTTCATAAAACTGTAGAAAACTACATCATACACACATCAAGCTTAAGACATTCACTAACAATAGTCAATCATCCACTCAGTCATGCTTACTCTGGGTTCTATCCTAAGGTTTATTCATACACCAACTCATTCTCAGCTAAAACAAAATTATACATGTAAATGTCTTAGCATATAATAAGTGAATAAAGCCAACTCAGGTAAGCTCCCCTTACCTGGAATAGGTTTTCTTAGTTCAAAATCCTCGCGAGTCCCAACAAGAGAAACAAGGCCCAAGAGTCTTAGATCTCCTTATTATCACAAACATAGAAGACTTTTGAGAAGAAAAATCAAGAAAATGAAAGTAGAATAGGAGAATCAAGTCCAAGAGATTCACCTAGATCTGTACTTAACGGATGTTCTCACTTTGATTGGGAAGAAGTTTGTCCTTGAGAAGGTTTTCTCTAAGGGAAGAAGGTGAGAGAATAGAGAGAAAATAAGAGAAGAAGTCTGTCTGGTGAGAAATGAAGGTTTTTCTGCGCTAACGTCCCTTAAATACCCCTCCAGATCCGGGCGTTCTCACTTAAATGAGCTAACTCTCACTTGAGTAAGGAATGTCTCTCCTGAGCGAGATTAGGTTTAAAAAGCTACCCATTTTTCCTGCGACTTCTTGCTTAAGCGAGGTTGCTTCTCGCCTAAGCGAGATCCATTCTTGCATAGGCGAGAGAACAGTTGGGTAGGTTTTATTGTGTCTTGCTTGAGCAAAACTGATGTTGCTTTAATAAGATCACTCTAGAATACTTAAATTAGCCCAAACTAATCTCGCTTCAGTGAGGCACACCTCGCTAGAGTAAGAAGTCCTACACCCAAAACTCTTTATTCTTCCGAGAATGAGGCAATACAAGCCCTCGGCTATAGTTCTTAGGTTATCACTCACATATCACACTTAATGATTGATCCCAAATCCTCACAACTAATTATATCCAACACAACAACCACTCAACACTGCAAATGCACAACTCTTATTCAACAACTATACAGCTCATACATACATAAATCTAAGTCAATTCATACCATTATCAACATTCATTATCACATTCAAAATACAATGGCATCATAGTTAAAAGATTTCATCATTATCTTTAAAAGGAGATATGCATACATACAACACAAGCCTAACATATAGCGATTTTTATGAAGAAATATACATGTCACAACCTAAAGATTTTGAGGTTTTGAGAAAAGAGAATTTTGTGTGTAAACTAAAGAAGAGTTTCTCCGGCCTTAAGAAAACTCCAAGACAATGGTATAAGAAATTAAATTATTTTATGGTGAGTCAAGACTACAAGAGAACAATAGTGGACTCATGTGTCTACTTCTAAAAGTTCTTAGAAGCGGACTTTGTTGTATTGTTATTGTATGTGGATGACATGTTGATAGTTGATAAGGATGCAACAAAGATAAAATAGTTGAAGGGAAAACTTTTCAAGTCCTTTGATATGAAAAACTTAGGACTAACACAACAAATTCTTGACATGCATATTTACAAAGATAGGAAAGTATGAAAGTTGTGGCTATCCTAAGAGATATATGTTTAATGGGTGATTTAAAGGCTCAATATGAAGAATGTCAAGCCTTTGGGAGATCATTAAAAAGATTTTTAGGTATCTTAAGGGCTCATCTAAGACGTGTTTGTGTTATGGGAGAGCTAATCCAATCCTGGAAAGTTATACAGATGCTGTCATGGATGCTGATATTGATAGTAAGAAATCTATATTATGATACGTATACACTTTTCAAGGGGAGCCATACCTTGACAATCAAGGTTGCAAAAGTGTATTGCTTTATCCACATTAGAGGTAGAGTTTAAGTGTCTATTTTGTATAAATTATTGTAAGTATTTAGACACTTAAGAACTTGATTTGAATGAAAATTTTGTTTTTAACCCTTTTATCTTTAAGAAATCAAAAAAATATGTAATTACTATATTTTATTAAGAGTTGTTGGATTTTGGAACTAATTTTTCTTTATTTTGACCTTGTAGGACTTAGAAAGATTTTTAGAAGATTTGAAGTCCCTCAACCACTCAGCCTTAGGGGAAGCGCTAAGCAAACTGGAGTTAGAGAGTAAGGTTTAGAAGCATGTCTCAACCGCTCAATTGTTGTATAGGTGCTGAGTAGATTGGTTCCAAAAAGGATGAAGGTCTCGGCTTTTGAAACGCTCAACGCTTCTCCAAGTGTCCAACAGTTTAGATTTCTTAACCATGAAGAATTCTTTCAATCGCTAAGTCATTCCCTCATTCCCTAAGAGCTGAGCGATTTAGTGTCTCTCCATATAGTATAAATAGAAAATAGAGACAAAACAGAGGCAACAAAAAGTATAAATGCAAAAATAGAGAGTAGAAACAATTTTCATTTCTTTTTATAGGGAGTAGAAACAACAATAAACACAATAAAAAAGAGTTGTAAGTTGTGTGTTATGTAGAAGGGTAGTGTGATATTTGGGAGTTTTATAATAATCTTTATTAATGAAGTTGATTTTTTTTTTTTCAATTTTATTTGTGTTATTATTCTATTACCCCAACAACTCATACAATAATTCATGTAACTATTTCATAATAGGTTAATCCAATACATTATTACTCTTAATGTGTATCTATGTGTGAGAACATGATATCTCATATCTACGATCCATGACATTTGATGATCAATTCACTTGTATATTAGTTTTAATGTATTATGTCATTTTAATATTAATATTTAACTAAACATATTTTAAGAAAACACTAAGTAAGGTTTTGCATTGATAAGATTATCATAAAACCAAATTAATCAAAATAGAAACCAATTATACATATTGAATTTCAAATCAATTCACTTTTGTTTTCTAAAACTAATTCAAAATTAGATTTTAAATACATGTTTTGAATCAAATTAATTTTATGAATGGAAGATAACATAACAAAGTGTATGTGGAGCATTTGGGTACCCAAAGTGAGAGGAGTACAATTTCTTGTTATCCACTAATGCAAACGAAGGCTTCTACCTTGTCAATTAAAAGCTATTTTTCTCTTTTATTACTTAAAATTTTATTAAATGATAATATGATTAGGATAAATATTTAGTATTTTATGAAAGAATATTCTTAACCCTTTGTTAGTTCTCTTAATATCTCTTCATAGTGATCCACTAAGAGTTATTGTGATATGATTCGTTTCTTTTTCCAAGCTTCTTCATCCTCATCACATTTTCTTCTCCTACACTGTCACCACCTTAGCTTCTTCTTCTCAAGTGTCTATATTTTGCCTTCATTTTTTTAATCACCCAACACCTTCTTTCAACTCTTTTCATCTTAAATACAAAAAACTTAGGTTATGTTTGATGGGAAAATTAAAAGTTCTAAGAAATTTTAAACCATCATGTTACACCATTTCATCCATCAAAAATTATTGTGGTATGATTCTTTCCTTTCTCCAAACTTCTTCATTTCTTTATCTCTCTCACACCATTTTCTTCCCTTAAACCTTTGCCACCACATCTTTTTCTTCTCAAGAGATAATGTCTTAGCTTCATTATTTTCACCACTCAACATCTCTTTTTAACTCTTTACACCTTGAATAACCTAAATTTAAAGTTACATTTTGAATGATAAGATATTTAAATTACATCATTTTAAATTTTATGATTTTAAAATATTTTATTCAAACTGTGTAATTAAATTTTTTCAATAGAGGAATAAAAAAATCTATAAATTTTATTTATTTTTAATGCAAGTGGGAGTTTACAATCATTACCATGTTTGAATCTCTTGAATAAAATCAAGAGAGATGATTGAATCAAAAATAAAAAAATAGAAATACGGTATGGAGGAAAAGGAAATTTTTTTATACATATACATATTTTATAGATTTTTTTATAATTTATAGAGATCAATAATACACATTCTTTTTATTATATAAAAATGAAATATAAAGGAAAATATAACTATGGGTTAAAATTATATACCAATCCTATCTTCATCAAAGACAGACACAAATCTTAAGATCAAATATCAGTCACATCAAATATTTTAGTTGTTAAATCTCAATCAAATTATTTTTAAAAAATCTGAATCAAATTAAAATAATTTATATTGTGTAAATATCCATATTTTAATAAATCGAATACAGGTACAATCAATTCAATTCGTCTTCACTTTGGACTCGGTCAATTTTAGGAAAACGAAGGAAGTAAAATCCACACCCCAAACTTTGATCTCTTTTCTCGTATATTATTACAAGCTAAATCTAAAAAAATAAATAAAAAATAGAAATACACAAACTCGAATATTTAAAAAATGAAAAGAAGAAAAAGACATGGTTGTTAAGGGAAGAATCTTGCCACCTGCTTCTCTCCCTTGCAGGAGAATCATGCCCTCAAGTCATTCATTCATAGCCGAGAATTGCGTGCATTGTAGCCGTTACAATCACGCAAATACCACTTAACTTTCCCATTTTGCCCCTACCGACTAAAAAACGACCTTCAGCCTTTGCATCAACTTCATTTCTCTATTGCTTCAATTTCAAATAATAAAAATAAAAATAAAACACAACAAAAAAACCTTCGTCCGTCTTCGTTCAAACTCTATAAATATCAAACAACCATCACAATTCCCCTCCACATTCACCACTCACTCTCTCATTCCCCTTCGCCGAAGGTAACACCTAACTCTGAATCTCCTTTGAATTTCCGTTTCGATTTTCTTCTCTCCTTCAATTCGCACTTCTTCTCTCGATCTCTTCCAATTTCGCCGAGATCTGACCGTGCCGATTTCCGATCCGTGCGTATTTTTTTCCTCTTCTGGAATTTTTCGCGTTCCTTGATTCCACATGCATTGCTCGATTGGGTTAGGGAATTCACGCGATTTGTTGATTCCGCGTCGGAGTCACGAAGATTTAGCTGAATTTTAGTAGCGGTTGTGGTTGATTCGGCGATTCGTGATCTTGCTTGCAGTTTTGTGATTAACTTTTGATTTATTAATTTATGTTTTTGGTTAATGATGTGATGGCTCTGCTAGTTGTTAGTTAATTTCTTTTGCATGTGAGTATTGGAGCCATTTTTTTGGCTTCTTTTCTTTAGATCTAAGTTTTGATATCAGTTTTGATTATCGTCAATGCCTTGCATGAATATTACGAGTATGTCTTGATCTGTTCAACAGTGAATAGCACTTGTGAATCAGCTGAATTTTTGGTGAACAGATCAACTATGTAAGGAAGTGAGGATTTAGAAAATTAAACGAGAATGCATGATAAGATTGAATCAATACTCCCTTTCTTCTTTGGTAGAGAAGTATATCCATAATTGTGTAGATCATGGATGATTTTTTAATAAATTTGAAAGTTTTATATCTTGAGTGTGGTTTGGCACAAGGGAAATGGCTGCTTTAATTATATGACGCTTTAATCTATTAATATGATTTGTTTTGGAATATTTTAATGAGTTGTGAGACTGAAAGAATATACCTATATGATATGTACTTGATTCTTTACTATAAATGGTTTCTCCTCATCTCATGGTTGTATTTACTCGTGATTTCTTTTTTTTACCAGATAAACATATTTTAGTTGCTACTCATGGGAACTGTTGTTGAAGCTGCAAACAAGGTATTCATGGTTATTTTGCACATTGATTTACTTCTAGCATTTTGACATTTTGATTGGTTTTTCTGTAAATTTGATTAAAGTTAAGATTTTTCACTATTCTTTTACCCTTGAACTTTGAAAATGTTTTTACTTGATTGTGAAATCGAAAAGAAGTTACAAGCTTTAAACTTTGTTTAGCCTTTTGTTGTGAGCCATTTTCTTTGCATTGATGATATCATAGCAATTTTTAATATTGTATATATTTCCACTGATTTTTTTCTATCATTCATTGTAGGATGCAAATGGAAGCATCCTGGAGAAAAATCCTACAGTTGTTTTTGTGTTAGGTAAGCACTGAACGATTACACACAAGTCAAGGATCTCCATGATCATCTTCCCGCTAAATGAACTTCCAATCATATTTTGATGCATTTGAGTTTGTTTTAATTTGTTCAAGATGACCCTATATATTTTCCTTGTGTTGTATACATTATTAATTATTAATAGTTTGGTCTATAGAAAATATCATGTTATAGTTTACTCGTAACGTAATATGCTAATAGAATACTGAATATATCTATTCTTTAGTAGAATTATATAATTGTCTGACTATATATAATGGCGCACTGGCAATGTCAATGTCTTTTGAATAATTTTTTTTTTTTCATCTTTACTTTTGCTGGCTTTTCAAAGCTTAAAACAATGAGAAGCCGTACCTTCTCATTCTGACAGTCATTAAGACTTTTGCTTATGCAATTTGATACCAGGACATGGATTGAATGTTTCCTTTTTATTTTATTTTATTTTTGGAGGGGGGGCTGTTGATGTGAATTTCTACAAAACAACTTTTTTAATCCATTGAAATACTTCTTAATTGAAGAATGAACTTATTTATCCATTTATATCTAACGTGTTTACCAGAATTTACGGTGGATTCTTTCTGACTTCTAAATTGATTATTGATTTGAAAATGATAAAGGTGGCCCAGGCAGTGGAAAGGGTACCCAATGTGCAAATATTGTCCAAAATTTTGGGTATACTCACCTAAGTGCTGGTGATCTTCTGCGAGCAGAAATCAAATCTGGTTCTGAAAATGGGTACATATGTTCTTCATGTTGATATATTAGTGATTGATTCAAAAACATGTTTTCTACTGGAGACACAAATTTAATTACATTGGAGATTTTTCCTTATGTGAATGATTGGTGAATTTGCAATTTTGTTTTGCACCAAATTTTTATGCATCTTGGTTGAGATTAGTGACTACTGCTATAGTTATAGCAAGCTGGGATATCTTAATCTCATTTTCTGTTACAGCTTTTGTATTTAAGGAGGTTTTTTGTCCTACAGTGATCTTTGATAGTGCCCTATTTCCCTTTTCTTTCTTTAGATGTCTTTTACATTTTTTGTTCTCAGTAGGACTTCTTTCCTCCTTATACAATTATCTTATTTATGATAACTTCATCTCTTCTATAGTCAATTAAACTTGAATACATCTTAAGTTTTGAGCCCCCCTTTTATCTGAAAATAGAAAATCAACAGTAGGAAAATACTTGGTTCTTTCATTTCAACTTGGTGTGGATGAAATAATAAAATAATAACCTTTTCTTTTACTGGATTTTATAGATGAGCAAGTGGATTTAATAAAATTCACATTGTGCTTTGACTTTGTTTGATCATATTACAGGGGCATATTGCCCAGTGTTGTGTGAGGAGTTATATATAATATAAAAATATACATCCATTTTGTTTTTTAAATGCTCAATGATTATATCTTGTATTTTCTCATTGAGGTTCCTTTTACATGCTAAACTAAGATGCAGATTATCCTATAATATTGATGCTAGATCATCTACTCTTATTCATGTTCTGGAAAATATGTAATTATTTCTTGTATTTCTCCAATATTGCTCACTGAATTCCACTTTTATACTGTAAAAATACAATATATTTTCTTATACTAGTTATTGTGTACTCCATTCCTACTTATACTGCGCTGAGCTGTCAGCACTATTGTTAGTCTATCATCTTGTATTGGGTTTAAATTGTGTGTGGATGAAATAATAAAATAATAACCTTTTCTTTTACTGGATTTTATAGATGAGCAAGTGGATTTAATAAAATTCACATTGTGCTTTGACTTTGTTTGATCATATTACAGGGGCATATTGCCCAGTGTTGTGTGAGGAGTTATATATAATATAAAAATATACATCCATTTTGTTTTTTAAATGCTCAATGATTATATCTTGTATTTTCTCATTGAGGTTCCTTTTACATGCTAAACTAAGATGCAGATTATCCTATAATATTGATGCTAGATCATCTACTCTTATTCATGTTCTGGAAAATATGTAATTATTTCTTGTATTTCTCCAATATTGCTCACTGAATTCCACTTTTATACTGTAAAAATACAATATATTTTCTTATACTAGTTATTGTGTACTCCATTCCTACTTATACTGCGCTGAGCTGTCAGCACTATTGTTAGTCTATCATCTTGTATTGGGTTTAAATTGTGCATATCTTTAAGCGTTTACACATTTATTTTTAATGTTGGACAGTACAATGATTCAGAATATGATTAAAGAAGGAAAAATTGTTCCCTCTGAGGTAACGATCAAGCTTTTGCAACGAGCAATGAAGGAAAGTGGCAATGACAAATTTCTTATTGATGGTTTTCCTCGCAATGAGGAAAACCGTGCAGCGTTTGAGAAAGTGGTAAATGCTACTTTGATCGAGTATAACTTTTTTCATTTCTAATTATTTCCAGTATTGTTAATTGCCCTAGCTTTTGATTTCCAAAATGCATTATGGATTTGCAGACAGGAATAGAGCCATCATTTGTCCTATTTTTTGATTGCCCTGAGGAAGAAATGGAGAAGCGACTTCTTAGTAGGAATCAGGTTGAGGTTTATATTTGTTTTTTGAAAGTGTTGTGTGTCCTTGCACTTGCTGACACTTAAAAGAGTTTTTGCTGATTATAAAGGGTAGAGAAGATGACAATATTGAAACAATAAGGAAGAGGTTTAAGGTTTTCTTGGAGTCTAGTCTCCCCGTGATTAATTATTATGATGCAAAAGGAAAGGTTTGCAAGGTAATTGATAGCTGTGCTTCTATATGTTTTTTGGTAAGTTTCTTGGTTGCCTCTTGTACTAAGGACATAGCATAAATTTTTCTTTCTTAGATTGAGGCTGCAAGGCCTATCGAAGAGGTATTTGAGTCAGTCAAAGCAATTTTTGGTCCAAAGAATGAGAAGGTAAATCCTTATGTTCGCTTCATGTCCAAACTTTATATGTACAAGTTTCATTTTGTATCGAAGACAAGATTTGGAAATCAATGTCTTCGTTGTTAACTAATAATGTATTTGCCTTGATACTACAATGTGTTGTATACTATAATAAACTAGTGCTTAATTTGTGCTTTGTGTTGGTGTTTTAAGAAATTTAATTTTATATACATTATGGATTTTTTCTTGTATGCCCATGTTGTAAATATATAAATATTTAAAATGAAGTCTTTAAATATTTTTCTTAATCATATTTTATTTGTTTTTTACAATACATTATGAAAGGATTCACATTTTTTTAATGAATATATGAATAATGTGGAAAGATAGGGATAACAACTTCATAGAGAAGAAAACATTTTTTAAAAAATGTGTGCCATTCAAATAAAGATAGTAGCATAAAAAAAAATATGGTAACCCCCTTCTCGCACAGCCCTTCACAAAAACCTTTACAGTTCAACGATTAGGATAAACTAATAAGATAGAATAAGCTTATCCCGTTAGCTATCTTATTGTGTCATTCTAGTGTAAATTTTATTTTGAGGGAGTGTTGGGTTAGAAATGAATAAAATAGGGTAATTTTTTTTTTCCTTCTCACCCTTACTTGGCAGCTTCTGCCACTAACACTGGCACTGGCACTGCCCCCGCCACCCAATACATGCCATTGCTATTGTCGGCATTGTACAAAACCATGGCTGTCTTCCAACCGACCCAACGCCACCCCACCCCTTCCCCTGTTGCCACCACCTAAATCCTTCATTGATAATGTTGCCTAACAACCTCTATTTCTGTTGCAACATGACTACCTCACCACTGCCACTTGGCTCCCTCCACTTTGCACCTTCCTATGCCATTTACTGCCTAATACCCACCTGCACCATTGCCACCCAACAACTCTGCCGTTGCCATAGCTGCCCACTACCATCTAGCAATGATGCCATTCAGCAACCTTCGTTGTTGTCATAACCTATAACACTCACCTCTTCCACTGCTGCACGATAGCTGCCATTACTGCCACCACCATCACCACTTGACACCCTCCATCATTAACACTACCACAATCATCTAACACCCTCCATTGCCACTGCCACCTAGCATCTTCCATTTCTGCCACCTGGCACACACCCTTTGCCCCCACTATTGTTGCTTGTCACCTTCCACTACCACTAAACATCCTTAACTGCCATCAGGCACCCTCAACAATTTTTATAATTTAAAAATCGATTATATATTCAAAATTATAATACATATATCAAAAGTTTATTTTAGAAAATAAAATGTAATTCTAGTAAAAGGGCAATTTTTCCATTTACATATATGTGTTCATATCCAATCATTAATGTGTGTCATATGATGCCACATCAAGCATTGGACAAGACTAAAATTTAACATGGTCTTATCTTGACTGCCAAATGAAATAGTGAATGAATGACTGGCTTTGCAGTCTATGTTTGAGACAAAAAACAAAAGAAAAATATGAATTATATGGAATATTCTTGAATGGCAAACCATAATCCTTAACCCTCAATAGTGATCAACTTTTCTGATTGAACTAGTTTCCTTGTATCAAATGTCACAACGATTGTATGAAGCCTAGGTTGTGTATATTAATATGGGATTTCAAACTTAGGAGCATTTAGATGCTCTCAGATATTGACTTGCTGCTGCACTAGGTTTCATAAGGAAAGTGTACGTATGAAAACAGTTTTTGAAACTTTCTTAAATTGCTACTCCCAAGTTAGACACAAGATCCAATAAAAAAATTACATTCCCTGGGATCCTTCTGATCTACCGTTACTATCTGCATCAAAGCTATGAGTGGTATACATTTTCACTTGTGAGACAAATGAGAACTTCTTGAGAAGTATTAAGGGGGGGTGCATCTTGAAATTACAAGGATTGATGTTATTAAAATCAATTCCATGATTGTGCCATTCAAACTGCAAACTTTCCAAGGAATTGATGTTCTTCTGTGGTATTTGCAGGCTGATTAAGGAAGTTCACCCTTGATTCCATGCTGGAAATTTCAAGGTAAAAGTTGTTGTATCATGAATGGTAAAAGATGCCATATATTTTATTTTTTCATGTGACGCATTTTAACAGTATTTTGGTTCAAACCTTGCATCATGCTTCTAAGTAATACCTATGAACTTTACTGAGTTGGGCGACTGAAGATTAGAAGTTCTTAGTGTACTGGACAAATCATGGTAGTGATGTGGGGCAATAGGAATCTCTTATTTTCCAAATTGTTTTTAACAATTTTATTTAAGCTTAGATATCCTTCCAAGTGGTAAGGCATCAATTCTTTGTGGATACCTTTCGGATCTATGTGGAGACACACTGTCTGGACAAGATATCTTGTGTAATACTTTTAGATATTCTACAGGTCATATGGTTAGTAAGATATCTTGTGTAATACTTTTAGACATTCTATAGTGATGAAAAGTAAAGAATATTCTGTTAAAATTGATAACAAGTCTTGAATTATCCAAATTGCAACTTCTGTATTGTTTTATAAGCTACAGGTCTATAAAAATGCATTGATGTATGTGAAAGTTGTTCTTTTTGAAAGTACCTTTCCATTTTGCTATTGGATGGATCATGATCGTGCCGTGCTTTGTTGTCTATTTGAAAGTTATTGTCTTTTTTTTTTTTGTATTTATCCTTCCTTTTTGCTATCGAATTCGAATTTTTTGGTTAAATATGTTTTTGGTGGTGTATTTCGATTTTGGTCCTTACAATTATTTTATTTTATGTTATTTTAATCTTTACATTTTAAAATTATTGATTTTGATCCCTTTTATGGATATGACTTTACAACAAAGTGACATATGTCACAATTTGATGTGTGGCAGCATCTTTGGTAGTCATGTCATCATTTAATAGTAACTAAAGATCAAAATAATTTTTCTTTAAATGTAGGAACTAAAATAAAAAATAATAATTTTGTATGATCAAAATCGAATGTGGTGTTTTTTGAGGAACTAAAAATATGTTGAAATGGAGAGACTAGAAATATATTGAAACCTAAATTTTTCAACATAAACTTTTGTTTTAAGTACCCGTTTAAAAAATTGGTTAAAAATTTATCACAAAATTTGTTAACCTATTAAATTAAAAGGGAATACATTTAATATCCTGAAAACATAAATGCATTCAATTCTTTCTTCGAAGATTTAAGGAATATGTTGTCGGCAGAATTAGACTTAATCTTTTCATTAATAATATGCTAGACTTACTGTTGTATGTGCGGATGCTAATTTGTTGTCTGTTCCATTATTGTTTTTCAGGTCATATTAGTATTGGCTGCTTGATCTATTCTCACTTATTGTTACTAAAATATAGAAAATTGTAGCTTATTGACGAAGTTTTACCTCTGTATTCTAATGTTTTTCTACCTTGTTGAGTTATTCATTGGTTGTAATAAAGAATTTTGTGTGGGTATGTCTTCCGATATGCAATAGTTAACCGGCTTTGTAGCTAAGCTTTCGAGTGACATTAAAGATATTAATAATCTGAACTTGCAAACAAATCTGTAGTCAAAAGAATTTCTGATTTATAATATAGAAAATAAAAAAGAGGAAATAAATACAATTCGGACACGATTTATTTCTATCTTGGGCAATAGACAGAGACTAGTAATATAGTCTTTCATTAATTATTTACGTGGACCCAAGATAAGTTTACAACAATTTAGAACCATTACCATGAACTTTTTAATTTTTAAAATTGAGTGCTTTAAAGCATTGGTTGAAGAATTATAAGAAAATAATTATTTAAAAGCTGCGTAATATATTTATTTTCTGATTAAACATATTTTAAATTATTTTTAACTACTAATTATGTTGTAATTTATATTCCTAGTGTTTTGACTAACATGAATATTTTTAATTTTATGAGATTAGTAAATTTTAAACTATTTCTAGATAGGACGTTGTTTGAAACTTCAACGGAATTGAATTGAATAATTTTGCTAAAACATGTGACAAAAAAATCAAAGCAGTTCTAAATTATCTGATCTATAAAAAAATTATAAGAATGACACTGTTAGTGAACTTTTTCATAAATTTTCAAAGCATAAAGATGTGGGCACCTTAAAATATTCATTGATTTAAAAACTGAAGTCGTTACCATGCACTTTTCGAGTTTGGAGAAGACTTTCAAATTTTCAAAGTCTTCAAATCGTAGCAGTCAAAAGACTGAGTCTCTTCAAATAAATCATTGGTTAGTCTTTCAAACAGAAGTCGTCGAAAAGAGTCTTCAAATGATGAGTTGTTCAAAGTTTTAAAGGATTTTTATTTTTTAAAAAAATATTATCTTCAGTTTTTAAAGTTGGATTTTTCATTTTTGATATATTCAAAGTTACTTAAAAACTTAAAAATAACCAAGTTTTTATTAGAAAAAGAATTATTTTTATTTATAACTTTAATATAATAAATGTTTCTTTTAATAAAAATTTATTATGGTTAGATATTTAAATTCAAACTTAAAAATTAATTTTAAGAACACTCTTATTTTTATTATTTAGATTTTTCCTGCTTAAATATGTGGTCTTTTCAATTAATGCCGTTATGATAAGTATTTGGGGGGAGAATTTTTTTCATTTGTATAATTTTTTTCTGACTCAAATAAAATTACTTCCAATTGAGTATAAAAAAACATCTAGAACTCGTTACAACTGTATTTTTGTGGTGAAAGAGAAAAGTAATATACATTTAACTAGTAAAATTAATGGTAGATATTGTAATAAACTTTTTAAATTAAACTGATAATAAATGGATTGAGACGGTAAGGAATATAATTTATTAAAAAAAAATAGCTCTTGTGAAAGTATTACATAACCTTCTTACTCTTAAAACCAAATAAAGTAATCAAACTTTAAAAAATGCGTCATGATTTTGACCACAAAAGAAGTTAAACTTTGGAAAACAATTCATAATAAATGTAAGAGAAAATATGTTTTCGTCGATCAAAATATATTAAATTTCAATTTTTATTCATATAAATTTATTTATTTATTGTTTTAGTTTCTATATTCTAAAAAATATTAGTTTTACTTTTTAATTATTATTATATGATTACATAATTATTTCAAATATTATTGCACATCACTTTTGTATCACTTGTGACTTTTTTATAAAGTCACATCAATAAAAATTAAAATTAATAATTTTAAAAAAATATAAAGATTAAAACAAAAAATAATTTTAAACCTAAATTACATTTAATTTTTTTCCTTTAAAGAGATGCACAAGACGTTTATCCTGTATGGTGTGAAGAAGATAGCTACATGCAACTTTACCACCGCATTTAGAAAAAGCTATTTCTAGGATTTTATCCCTTAACTTCTAAATCACCAAGACAACTCTATCCTTGTATAACAAAAGAAACAATAAAACAAAAACTTCTACTAAAGTGAGTCTGTATGAGCGTTCGTTGGATCAAATTGCAATTCATAATCTTAGATATTCAAATTACCAAAAAAAAAAAAACTGCAATTTTAATTTTAAATAAAACAATATAGTCTGTGGTCTGTGTTGATGTACAAACTCATCAGACAAAAATGATAATTAGCTCCATCGTTTGCCTGCGACCAAGAGAGGGATATAAAATGGTTTTCTTTTTTGTCAATGAATATAAAGTGGCTGAAGAATAAAAAAATAGAAACTATAAAAATCACATATCGTCTAGCCAACCCACAATCAATCGCTGACAGCTACATATAATACAAGACGTGTAAGACAGTCCAATAGCTACCAAGCTCATCGTGTCCAAGAAACAGATTCAATTTCATCCCTCGCTGCTTTATATAGTTCAAGCCTTTTAGCACATTGTTGCCTCCTCTCCATCAAGGCAGGGTCTTCATCTAACAACTGTGATAGCTGTTTAGGCTGCACGAACATTAATGAAAGATAAAATCTTATGGAGGATATACTTAAAACAACTAAAACGGGTATCATGCACAAAAAGGACAGATTGTATTTTACATGACTGCTTCCACCGCTCTAAAAGAAGTATAATGTTTTTAAAAGGTGGAAGTTAAAGATGAATCCAAAATTGTAATTGCAGAGATAGGGAAGAGGTAAGCGTTCAAATTGAAAGCAAGGGCAAGAGAGTACCTCTTTCTTCCCTATTTGTGTGTAGAAATGGTTCAGCAATGACTGTTTTGCTTCTCTGACCTGACAATAAACCACAGCCTTGGGAATCGTGTTTCTGAGTGTGTCTGATACCATACCTATGTAGGATGACACATTTGATCCAATCCTCCTATAATGTCCTTCTCCATATCTATCTACATTTGCCTTAGCTGGATTTCCGGCTTTCTCCACTTCTTGAGGAAGTCTCCGAAAGAACTCCACAGTGAGATACGAAGCTTCCATATCCACAAGTCGAATAGCTGTCTTCTTACTCTCTTCGCGGAACCTCTCTAAAGCCTCATTTGTAGCAGCAGCTATTTCGGCTTGAAGAGTTGGGAAACGTCTCAGTTCCTATTCAATCACAAATTCATAGCTTAATAGACTGTTCTAGTAACTTGCACAGGATTACTATAGAATAAGAACCCAATTTTACCTGTGTTTCAGCTATTGATTTCCTCACAAGCTCTTTTAAGACAAAGTGAACCTACATCCAAATCACAGAAATATAGCTTAATTCTTCTATTAATGTTAGCTTTAAAATAGCAACAAAAGAGAATACAACCAGGACTGCTTACTGCATCAACTGAAGCTTCAGCTGGGCCTCTAAAGTAACTGAGAGCCCCCTCAATGAGACGCCGGTAACCTTGCTCTGGAGCAATTAAGTGAGGCTGATAACCATCTGCTTCCGACACTACTTTCTTTACATTCTGAAGGGAAAGATGACGGTCAAATGGAAGCTTCCGTAAAGCAGCAGGAAGCTGATTGTCAAAAACATTATATATCCTATCTCCTCCTGGTCGCCTATGACAATAAACAAGAGGGTGATTATGTAAGTTAAGATAACTGTCAACTTGTCCATCAGATAACAAGCTTACTTCATAACAAATCATTCCAATTTTCTTAACCATATTCAGGTGGTACATGAAATCTTTGCCATGCCTTTGCAAAAAGCAGTATACGGTAGTTTTTTAGTAGAAAAGAACTAGCACTAAAAACAAAACCAAATTTGAAGTTGGATTTAGCTAGTTCAAAACAAATAAAGCATTATTGAGACATCAAATCTAATTCTTGAGTGATGATTGTTGGAAAAAGAAGTCATGTACCTAATTTGAAGTGAGTGCATGTTTAGCAACAATTTATAGGAACTAATCAATTTTTTATTTCTCTCAAGAAAATCCCAAAATAAGCTAACCCAACCGGGCACAAACAATCCCTCAAGGACGGATTGAAAATAGTCAAGTTACAGTAACAAAATGATGTCCACCTAAAACGTTCAATAGAGTAAAAGTCAAACATCATAACATATATTTACCCTCCGTCTAAATGCTCCTTG